GCTGTCTGCATAATACACGTTTCTGCCGAAACATGCTATACATACTCAGTGAATCGAATCATATAAAACCTAAATTGACTTATACTATGAAGTTTTAAACCCATCTATCTCTTAAAAAAGTAGTTATAACTGACAAGGTAATTGATTTGCTGTGTGATGTCTCCTACATTAAAGAGGCATCCATAAAGTACGTATGCAGTAAAACCACTGATTTGAATTTCCTTCCCTCTTGTACACACCTGTATGCATTTAAGACCTCCTTCCTTTCATTATTTATTACAAAACCAATCCCCCTCCCCAACGCATAAATTTTTTAAAACATAAAAAAAACTTGTAGTTATTTCGATCTTTGTTACATAAAACAATATTGATTTTTTAAACTCGTGAAATTCAACGCTTTTGTTAAAAAAAAAAAAAGAAATCAAGTTTTAAAAGTGATAGAGAACGAGAGTACTTATAATACTAAGGTGGAGAGGGAGGAAGGAAGGAGACTCTAAGGTGGAGAGGGAGGAAGGAAGGAGACTCTAAGGTGGAGAGGGAGGAAGGGGGTTAAAACCGAGTAATTGCGGTAAAAATATAAGTAAAGATATTAAGTTATATAACATCTTTAAATAATGTAATATCTTTAATTATTCAAAGATATTGCATTACCTAATTTTTTAAAATAATATTAAATAATTATTAAACATCCAATAAAAAATGTTAGATGTTACTTCTACTATAAGATCATTTTATTTTACTTACCTACTTAACACTTGTTTTATCATCAATAAAAAAAGACGTCATCGATAAGGACGTTACGATAGACAATAAAATAAGCGGTTTTTTTAATATGGTGATAGCAAGTTTTATAATATAGTTCAACAAGAAAAATGACCATAGAAAGCAGCAACCAAGTCCGCTAACGGCAATTTTATACAAGCACGACCGAGAATATGCCAACCTTGATAATTTCAAAGCAGTATTACTACAACACTCAGATTGGAAGTTTCTCGTTTAACTGTAAATGACAAAGTGATGAATCTAAACGTATTCAATAATGCGAGGTAGTGTTTATTAGTTTTAGATAAATATTCAAAACAGGAACTGATTAAAAAAAGATCTTTTAAAATCTATAATAGGAAAATTTCTAAAAGACCATCCTTTTCTAGTGACTGATTTTACAAAATCTTATCAAGCAATGAAAAGTTAGGCAGATCATGACAACATTTTTCAGCTTTAAAAAGAGCCTTATATTGCTTTCCTTTTCAACTTTTTCACCTTTAAAAAGCGCTTTATATTGCTTTTCTTTTCAACTTCTTTAAATGGAAAAAAACTGAATCCTTACGACCAGCACAAGAATAGTCAGCGTACTATTAAATCTGTTATTCTTTGGAAAGAATAACAGACTTAATCAAGATATTGCCAAGGTCAAAAAGGCATGTATTACCAAGCATCCATGGTGTCATATCTCTCTCCTACAATAAGTTTTTAATTCTGGTTGGTTATCAAATTAGGATATCTATTCTGGATGACATTAGAAAGGCAAAATACTACGCTATTTTTTTTGATAACACACCTGATAAATCTTATGATTTACCAGGTGTGCTATCAAATTAAGATGTCATAACTTATCATTATCAATGATAAGCTTTGACAATGTAATTATAATGGATAGGGATACAAGTGGGGTCCAAAAACGAATTTTGGCAATCAACCTCAAAGCCCATTTTATACCATGCAATGCTGTTCAATACAAATGCAATACTATTCACTGAATCTTGTTGGTGTGCATGCAGTAGGTAGCAGTACACTGTTGGCAACCTTATCAGCACAGTGGAAAAGATTTACACCTACTTTTCAGAATCTACTCATTGACGGGATATTTTTAAAAGTCTTGTACCAATAAATGTAAAACACTTTTGCGAGACCAAGCGGATTCTCAGACATGACGTTGTTCATGCTTTTAAGGCATATCAAGATGAATTTACAAATGTCCTAGAGCATTTCATGAATCACTATGAGACTATTGAAATAATAGGTGATACTCAAAATCTTATACTATGAGTGGAATGATGTCTTTTTAATCCTTTTTTAGCTTCCATTTATTTCTGGAGCATCTTTTAGTTGAAATTAATGATGCACATACAAATCTCTACAAAGAAAAGGACTTTAGATCCGTTAGATCAGTATGCCCTAAAAATAGAAACATTAGAGATATTTTTTGCTGATCAACGAGATAAAGTTGCAAAGAAGGTAAACATTTATGCTATGGAGATATGTCAAATATATAGTATCACAAAAGAAAAAAGAGTTCTCCAACGAAAGAAAATGCCGACCAGAAGAGATCAGATATGCTGGCTTAAGTCTTGTCGATGGGAACAAAATGAAGCTTAAGTCTTGAAGGTGGGAACAAAATGAAGCTGTCAATGAGCTGCAAGCAGAAATTATATATGTATCATTTAAGTTGCAAGAACTTGAGAAAAATTTTTCTTTCTTAAAAACTGCAGCATGACTGAGTGGGGAGAATAATGAATTCATTAAATGCCAAATTGAGCATATGTGCTAAACTACAATGAGCTAAATCCATTGAAAATGTTAATTAAAGTGAATCACCGTTGGTGTTATATGACAATATTCCAAACAAGCACTAAGAAAAATCTGCAATAACTAAATAATTGGTGTGCTTTAGTAGTCTTTTCTTGGATTCTAAATTAGCATTCGTATGAAAGTGTACCTAATCTTTAACGATAACTGTATCAGTAGCTAGTTGTAAAAAAAAAAACTTCTCAAAACTTAAATTGATAGAAATCTTTAAATTATACACATATAGACTTTTAAAATTATATTTTATCAAAGTTATTAAATACTTTTTTTCAAAACAATTTTGCAAATATGTTTGTTTTGCTTCTTGTCAGCAGCTCAATACAAGAACTGTATGAATCTCCCTTTGGTTGATTTTCTAAATAACACATTTTTTATTGATTTACTTTTAGTCATGGAATTGAACATGATCCTTAAAATTACTACCTGTTTTTTTGACCATTTAAACATTATTTTAAATCAAACATCACCTTGTTTCTTAAAAACTACTGCCTTGTTAAATAAATTGGGTTTTTAAAAAGTCTCAAATCTATATAAGATTCAATGTCAATTAATGTTTACTGTTCTTTTCACTACAATAAGATTTTCTTGTTTATTACTGATAAACTTAACACATTGTTTTTAAAAGCATAACTACACACTAACTGGTTTACACAAATGTTTATGAAGTATTCAGTTAAAGACAGAACTATTTATATACATTTTGATTGCTGTGTAAGATAAGTAGACAAACAAAAATCCTAACATCATCTTTTACTAGGGCCGCAAATAAAAATGTTCTAACAAGTAAAAATTAAGTAGTTTTGTAGTGGTAGAGTGCTCGTAATGATTGAGCGCTTCATAAGTGAGAAGCTCTGAGTTTGATCCCCACCATGTCCCTAGTAGTGCCACGCTCAATTTAATTCTCCCTGCAGCAACCTTGTTCTTCAAAGTTCGTGTTTCAGAGTTAAAGAGTTGAGAGAGGGTTGTAACCACAATAAAGTAGCCTCCTTGACTGTTGTGACACTTTCGGCACTGGGGAGGTGAATAACATAAGGAAAAAAAAAAACTTTGAATGGATAATTTTTTTAAATAAACTCAAAAACCTTAAGGATAAAATTTGTTTTCAATATCTCTATTTTGAAAACTGCTTATAGCTGTTCAACTTAAGATTTTCAAGACTTAAGAAAAGATGCATCGCGGACAAAGAATGTAGACAGGCTTCAGAATTATGCAGGTTTAGTTGCTGAATAAATCATATATCATCAGGAGCATTTTTTAATATTTATACTTAATGTAGAAACAAAGAAAAATGCCCAAATAAATATAGTTAGAATTAAAGTCTTTATAAAATTTCACCTATATCTAACAATAAAAATAATTTTCATCTACTTCTATGTAATCCTGTATGTACCTGATAATATCTATGTAATCCTGTATGTACCTGATAATATCTATGTAATCCTGTATGTACCTGATAATAATTTTTACTACTACCTATAATGATTTAAAGATTTGGTGAAAAAACAAGATTTTGACAACAGTTTATCTGAGTCTAACATATTTAAATTTCAAAAATTAATGGATCACAGAAAGTTAGTTTCTTTTGTAATCAAACTTCAATAAGCTTAGTCTTTCATAATCCAATTAATTAAAAACAAATAAATTAAAAACAAATAATTAAAAAACAAGTAATTTGCATCCAAATGGCTTGTTAATCATTTTCATCAGTTGAGTTTTTTAGTATCATACAATGAGGTAATTAAATTTAAACTAACAACTCTAGCTCTTCATCCATTGTAACAGTTTTTCCAAATGTTATTAGAATGCTATTAGTTATTAGAAGAATCTTTAACAAATCTTAACAAACAAATTTTTTTTTCAAAAATCTTTACTAAGACACAAGTCTAAAATAAAAATTATTTTATATAACTAAGGTAACTAAGGTAACTAAGATAACTAAGGTAACTAAGCTTTTATTATAAAACAATATATCAAAGTTAATTCAAAGTTCAGCTATTGTCATATGCAGTTGATAAATATTTAATTTTTGTTTTGATTAAAAAACCTTGTCAAATCTACAAAACAATAAAATATTATGCTAATAATAGTTGTCTCTTACCAGTAATAATTTTTGCCTTAGAGTTAGGATAAATCTCTATCGATTTTCCTTCCAAGTTTAATCTGCTGTAAGTAAAATCCTGAGTTTTGAAACAAACCTAAAATCAATTAAAAAAAAAAACAGTAACAAAATAACAAATCCAAGACTTGAAGTTTTAAGTTCACCTTTTTTTTTTTGTGATTAATCCCAGAAGTCTTTACGGTCTTATCAAAGAACACAGTGGAAGAGCATTTTACTAGGAACTTCATGACTCCTTCTTTATCAATTTTGCTTAATGGGCTAGAGTTAGCGTCAAACCTCAGACCACTTGGTCTTAAGCCAAAACTCTAACTACTGCACCACTGTAAGCGGTAGTAATGTAGTGGTAGAGAGTTTGCTTCTTAAGCAAGAAGTTTTTAGTTTAATCCCCACAATGTCTCTGGTACTACAATACTCAAATTGTTTCCTAGTGGTCTTGTTCGTCAAGGTTTGTATTTTGGAGTTAAAGAGTTAAGAGAGGAGTGTAACCACAATAGACTAACTTCTTCGAGTGTAATCACAATAAAGTAACCTCATGAACTGTAATGGCCCTAATATAAAAAGTATATGAATATGCAATAAAAAACAAAATTAATATTATGGTTAAAAAAAAAAATTACTTTAATGTAGGAGTTTTCCCCAATTAAAAATTGATCTTTAACCAAACATTGTCCATGAGAAAAAGATACAGAAAGATCAAGTGATGCTTCATACAGATTTCTTTTGGTAAACTTGTTACCTAAACACAATTTTAATTAAGACTATTTACAAAATTTGTTAACATTTAGCGGTCAAACAAAATATATCAATAATTTTCCTGAAAACTCTCCATTAGAAAAAACAAACCTATACACCAGAGAAGTTCAGATTTGTTTTCTGATACAGTTACAACATGAGTTTTTGGTGCGGCTTCAACATTTGTAATCGCTCCCCTAAAAATTTACTCTATACACACTTTTTTTTTTTTTTTTTTCTAATTCAAAAAAAAAAAAAACAATAAACTGATATTAACACTTTTTTTAGGCTTCAAGTAAAATAAATAAAATGATTAAGTTTACAAATGAATAAAAAGTCAAGATTCTTTTCAAAAATTTGAAAATTTTTTTTTTTAATTTAAATTACCTGTTAAAAAAAGGTATGTTTACATTAAAAAAATCAAAACTATTTTTCATTTGATGTTCCAGAAATATCTGTATAGAAATACTAACTCTTTCAGAAATGCCCTACATTAATTAAACAAATACATTAATTAAACAAATACGCAATAAATTAACTAAATAATTACATTTATTATAGAAATAATTATTATATAACTAATTACGAATATTATATGTGCCCGAATATCATTTTATGTGCCCGAATAGCTAGTAAAATTTTAAGAAATTACATTTTTTAAGATTTTATTAGCTATTCAAGCACGTAAAATACAGGTTATGGTAAGTCTGTTTCACACCAAGCATTTCTATATTTATTCTTAATATGGTCTCTTTACTTCAATACTTTTTAGCAAACGCTAGAAAAATTATTGATTTAAGTATCAAGGTTTGGGATTAAAATTTCATAACATAAATGTTAATATCTCTAACACAGATGACAACTGTGTTAAAACATTATTATAACTTATTATTATAAATAATACTATTATTATAACTATAAATTTTAAAAACCTGTTGGTTTTTAAAATTTATAGTTATAATACTAATTCTAAAAGCAGATAGAAAATTACTATAGTTATATACTATTTATAAATAAACACAAATTCTATAAATGTATTATTTATATTATTATTATTTTTATAACTATTATTATTATTTATAATGATAATAATTAGAGATACTTTGGAGATTAATAAAGGTTTGATAAGAAATACAGATTTTACAGCAGCATAAAATTTAATATTAAAATATTATAGGATTATATCCAAAAGAATCCTAATAATTTAGCCATTATGTAAACATTTAATGTCAACTATGGCATTGAAAATTTTAAATATTTTAATGATATAACTCTATACAATTAATTATATATTATGTTAATTAAAAATTATTATTATTTATAATATTTTTATAAAAAAAGTTTTTTTTCCTTTTAATTATAAGAGCTATTATTTTTTTTTCTACTAAAACTTCCTATGCTCAAAAAAGTTCTATTTATGTATTAGTACCAGGATGAGTTAAATTTATATAAAAATAAATATATATATAAATATATATATTTTTCTAGAAATAGTAAAATAAGGTAGGTCTTTTAATATACTTTTTTCAAAAGAAATACACAGAACTCCGAATATATTCGGAAAAAGATAATCCCTAAGAATTCCATAACTGAAAAAAAAAGTTTAATTGCAAATATTATTATATGTTGTGAAAATGTATCAAACTAGTTAAAAACCCCAACAAATAATTTTTTTTGAGTAAAGTATTTACAATTAATAGTAACTTTTTTTGTTTGACGTTAGTCTAAATAAACTTTAAATAAATCATTTAATTATAAAATATTTAATTTCTTAATAAAAATGTTTCAAAAATACTAAAAATAAACAAAAAATATTTCCTTACAGTATTTAAAATAAAAATACTTTAATTTGTGAATATTTTTTATATAAGTAAAAACTGAAAATAAGCAATATACAGAAATAAACTTATATAAAACTCTCTTAGAAATATTTAGATCATTATTATGGTGAAAATAGTTGCCTGACTGTGTGAGAGCTACTGTTTCTACAAATATTTTTGTGACAGTGTTTACATAATGCTGATGTTTTCGCATAAAGTACTCATTAGTGCCTTTTTTTAAGCATTCATGGTGTTTTCTTTATTTAAAATGGTACTGGAGTTACATTCAAATGCTAAAATCATCACACTGGATTCATCAAACTGGATTCATTACTTAAATTTAAAACATGATGAAGAACAATGATCTCTTTTAGCCCTGGATCAAGTTGGATCACGAACTCAGTCTTATTCCGGTAGGCTGATTTAATTTCCCACCATTTTAAAATGGGAAAGACATATAACAGTGCCAATGTAAAGATTTATGTAGTTCATGGTCAATATTGATGTAAACATTGTTATGAGAACTGATTTTGTAGATGGTACTTTTCTTTGTTTTAATTGTTAGGATGCCCACAATTTTTAGATGCTTTCTAACCAATACAATTTATGAACCTGTGAACTTTTTTATCTTTATCTAATCTTCTCCAAACATATTTTGTATTAACTTGAGCTTATTTTATTCTTTATTTTTCACTTGCAGTTTTAAATATTAAAAGTGATAATTATAGTGATAATAATAATAATAATAATAGCAACAATAATAATAATAATAATAATAATAATAATAATAATAACAATATAAACAACAATAATTGTATATGAAATATCATCATAAAATAAAAATTGTAAATAATAAAAAAAAACATCAGGCAAAAACGCCAAGTGATTTTATTTCTTTCTCACCAATAATTATTATCTGGAAAAAAATGTAATAGCAGACATGGTTTATTTATTTGCAATGTGTATTTGTTATTTTTCCAGCTGATTCATTGTATTTTAATGAATGTGATTTTTATATAATTACTCACTACTCACTGCAGTAATCTAAACAGCAATTCATTTCCTCAACTAAAAATACCTCAAGGAAGTGTATTGTTTTGAAGGAAATCAAAATCAAATTGCACTTGATAGTATCAATGTCTGTCAAAGTTAAGATTATCAGGTAATTGGGGTTCTATGTATACATAAGAAGTGTATTTCTTTGAATACACTCAAAAATAATTTAAATAAGATTTCATTAATAACTTGTAGATCTCCTTATATTGAATGAAAAGAAGTAGTAAATAAGTAGCAATATACAGCCAACTGAAGATATGTAGCAAATATAGCATAAGTTATAAAGTTAAAATTAAACATCAGAATTTGTTTCCTGATTAAATTCAATGTTGCATGAAAATTTGTTTTTTTTTATGTTTTATTCGTTTTTCAAAATGAATTAACTAGAGTATAGATTAGCCCATCCCATTTTGACTCAATATTTTGAACAAATTTTAATGCGTGGAGTGTCGTAAAATATTCCCAAGGTATTGTTTTCTTAATGAAATTTTTTTATTTTTTATTTTAGATGACTACTTAAACTCACGCCACTCTTTTAAAGTTTAAAATTTTTACATTTTTTGAGTTTTTAAGGGCATTTTTAAACAATCGGCGCAAATAGAAATTTACAAATCGTTAACTATATAATAATGCCATCACAAGTAATGGAAGGTCTTTTATCTATACCGATTGTGCGCATTTTTATTACTATTATTTTTGTTAACTGGTGGTATTTTGAAAAAACGCACAAATTCGTTATAAAACTAAAAAAAACGTGGTTTTTAAACACAACAGCATTGAGGCCCAATACAGAGCAATTAGAAATTTCTCAGATACTTTTGATGTCATGCAATTCACCTACTTCAAGTCCTGGTTATTTAAAAAGGGTTTGTACAAGATTAGCTAAGTTTCCTGGCCTACCATTATTCTTGTTAACCAGCTGCCATCATAGAACAGAACAGCTGTCAGAGAATTTCATATGGCCGTAGCTGTAAATAAAACTGTTAAGCTGGAAAATAAACTATTTATATCATAAAACCATAAAAGGTTAAATAATAGTAAGTTAAAGATAAAACTGCTTCACTTTAAAATATCTTTTTGCAAAAATAAAATGAATAAGTTTCTAGTTTTAAAATTATTTACATTTAGACTTTTGAGAAGTGCAGAGATTATTATGAACTTGCAGAAAAAAATCAGACCATTAGGTGAAAATTAACAAATATGGAGCTGTTTCACACGCCTTGAATTTCATGAAATTCAAGTTTCATTTCTTTAAAATCAGACAGGTTTTTATTCTGAGTAATAAAATACTAAAAGAGATCAATAGAATGGCTGACTAAATTTCTCTCTCCAGGGAATTGTGGTTTTAGACCTGCGACTTTTTTGATTCTGCGATTCTTAAAGTAAAACTTAATTTCATAAGTTTTGATATTTTAGTCTTATTATTTAAGAACAGTTTGTGTCATAAAGTAACAAATTGTTTAAAAACAATGGTTTGCAAAATGGTTTAAAATCAGATGTAAATTACAAAAAAAATAACTCTAAACCAATTTTTTTTTCTAATGACAGACTTTTCTTAAAATCAGTAGAAATAAAATAAAAATGAAATCAATAGAAATAGCACTTTGATTTTATCTTGTCAAAAATAAATGTAATAAGTATTTAGCAATGTCGTTTTAAACTATTATTTTTAATTTACACTTTTAAGATCAACAAGACTATTGGCAGATGTATATTGAGCCTGCTGCAGAGGTGAAATTCAAATCATGGTAAAACCTCAGAGGTGTTTGGTATTGGCGTTAGCATCTCTTGACTGAGATCACAATATAAAAATGGTAAAAGATTCTGTATTCAAAAATAAAGGGAGGTCTAAAAAAGTGTAAAAACAAACAAAATCAAAGCTGAAATTTTTATGAAAGTTGTTTTTGTTAGTAAAGACCAGCCACTAGGTCTTGAGTTGTATAGATTACCAGACTACTGATTAATTTTTGATATCCTAAGTCATAGTTTGAAAAAATGCCAATGGATGAGACTCCCTCAGACTTTTTAGATACAATGAATTCCAAAACTTTTAGAATCTTTCAAAGTTGCTAACAACTCATCAGAACTCACAGCAAAATTGTAAATCTATTAAGCATAGTCTAAGAAACTTATTTCTCAAAACAAGAAATATATTTCTTGTTTTTAAAAATAAATTGCAGGGTAAGATATTTATTTCTTGAAACAAGAAACATAATTCTTGTTTTGAGAAAAATATTTCATAATAAAATATTCAATTTTTCTTTTCTTACAATAAAATTTTTTCAAGATAAGGTAGAGCGCGTGATGTACTAGGAGAAGCTTCAGAAGCTACTTCAAATAAAGAGTTCTTGTAAAGAACCATTAAAAAAACAGAAGAGTGGATTCAAGGAGCTAGCTACAGCGACTGCTTTCTCGTTATTGAATGGTTCTGATAAATTGAATTTTGATCTGATATCTAACTGCAAACTCTGAACCTTAAATTACATTAAAATTTATTTTTACATTTTTTCTTGATATATTTGTCTTAAGCTGAAAATTTATATGTATATACTTTTTAATTTGTTATTTAGGTACCCCAAAAAGACCTAACGGTCTTGTCACAGAGCACCACAGAAGTGCATTTATCCAGGAAGTTCATGCCTCCTTCTTTACTGTAATGTGAAATATGTCCAAAGCTCGTTTCGAACCTGGATCTCCTGCTTATAAAGCAAGATATATAATATATAATAATTTATTGCACATTTATAAATATATAAATATTTATTGCACATTTGCAGTGTTTCTGAATTCTGAAGCAAATTTGCTTCAGAAACAAGAGATCTGTGGCAGTAACGGATCCAGCCTTTTTTGGTGTTTGAGATAGCTAATATGGAGGCTGGGTACAAAAAAAGCCCTGAAATTTTTTGTACCCAGTTTAAGCCAGGGGGTTAAACTTTCATGTTTAACCCCCTGGCTTAAACGTGAAAGCAACAAGTTGATGAAATAATTTTTTAGCTATTCTTAACTAAATTTATATTTATCGATAAATTTTAAGTATTGTTTTACAATCTTTAAGCGTTCATAAATTATGACTTTATAAAATTTGTAACCCCTTTAAATTAAGGGGGCTTTAAACATTATATGGTTATAATTTATGATCTCTGAGAGATATTACTATGAAATTAAAAATTTTTCAATGAATATAAACAAAGTTAAAAAGTTCAAAAAAAAAGACCCAATCTTTCAAGGAAACCATTTTGGATTTGGATTTGTTTGATCCAAGGCTCCAGTAACAGTGTTTTGAAAAAAAAACATCATTTAATAAAAAAATGAGGCAAAAAACATAAAGTTTGTTGTATGACTGGAAAAAAGCCTTGAGATCAACAAAAAAAACTTTACAGTAGCCAAAGTGTTAATTTATCTATCATAATCAGTGTAAGATTAGTCACAACATATTTCTTAAATTAATAAGCACAGTGCTTTTTTTGGTACAGGAACACATAAAGAAAATATCGTTAAACAAATTAATTGGATTTGACATCAGAATCTATTTGCACCAATGCTTGGAAATTGCCCTAAATTTAGTCAAAAAATCATAAAAAGCGTAACTTCGAACAATCGACTTAAATACTTTTATCAAGAAAAAATAAAAAATAAAAAAATTTTATATAACTTTTTTAATAAACATTCAAAAATGTTTTATGAAAATATAAAAAAATGTTTTATTAAAATATAAAAAACAGGTAGCAATTAATTATCGCACTAAAAATACCAAAAAAAAATTACCTTCATCTTAAAAGATACTTTAATAGGACATTCCTTTGATTGAGTAACGTAATGACACAAAGGAAAAGCCTCATATGGTGGACAAAATCTTAATTTTCTTAATACAAGTTCTTCATCATCCTTCTTTCTATTTATAACTAAAGTCAACTCATCCACTTGCTTCACACAAGAATGAAAAGTCATTTGATTAAACACACCTGAATTAAGTGGACTTATTAAGCTCAATGTGATATCAGGAGCTCCTTCCAAATCAGCCTGTACATACAAAAACAAATTATATTATAAAACATTTCTCCTAAAACATAAGTTTAATTTTGATAAAGTTAAAATTACTTTTTTTTGTTGCTTTACTTAAATAAAACTAAAATAAAATGTCTGCTGAAAATTAAAACAAAACACTTTCAAATGACTGTCTCCTGACAATTTCATATCACATAAGATTTTGTAAAAATAGACATCAAATGAAATGATGTCAAATAAATGTCAAGGTAACCTTTAAATTATGTTTTCAAACTAAAGATAAGAATCATTAGCTAAATCAATAATCATTAACTATGATTACAATAAATCATTTAGTTGTATCATGGTAGTTACTTATCAAAAAAAAAAAAAAAAAAAGAGTAAATATGGGTTAACACACATCAGAGTGGGTGAAAGTTCTAAGTTCAGAATGGGTAGAAGTTCTAAGTTTAGAATGGAAAGAAGTTCTAAATTCAGAATGGGTTGAAGTTCTAAACTCAGAATGGATAGAAATTCTAAGTGAAATCAATCAAAATCAAATTTTATTCATTAAATACATTTTCAATTTTGAGTTAATTCTATTTCCACATTCTATATACTTAAATCTATCATCTATTTAAATATTAGAATAATTTTTTGATTTTTTTTTTGAAGTTTTTAGTTAGAATTTAGAAAATATTTTAGGTCCAAAAAATGGACAAAGAAAATATCTATTTGTGTTGATGCACAACTAAAAGTAGTTTTTTGTTGTTTTTTCAGTTTACTCAGACTTAGTACATTTTGAAAATGGACTCCTAAAATGATTAACCAGATTTCAGTAAGAATAAGTTAAAACAAAATTACAAAAATTATTTATTTTAACTATTATTAAAAAAAAAGTTAGTCTAGTAAATGAAATAAAATACAAAAAGAAAGAAAAGGTGCAAAGTTATGCACTTAAATAACAAATATAAAAAATCTAAATAAATAAATTAAATACAAAATTTGATTTAGCAAATGCAAAAAAGATATGGAGAAAAATGAGATCTGGGAATTTCTAAAAGTAACCTAAGTTACAATTAATGCAATGAAAAAACTTCAATTATTATTTAATTTATAACTAACATGATTTAACTATGAAATTCATAACATTGATGAAATTCATAACATTGATGAAATTCATAACATTGATGATTAACTATGAAATTCATAACACAGACAATTTGATCACAATGTTTTTATATGAAAATAATCTTCTTTTATAGCATCAAGATTCTGTGAATTCAGACCAAAATAGTGGATCCACTTTAGCCAGACCAAAATATAACAATTAGGTTACAACGCAAGGAAAAAATTAACATTTATTTCTTAATAAACAGGCATGATTTAATTAAAAAATTCATAACTAACATACATATTTGGATTATAAACTTCTTAAATGACATTAATCTTTTTTTATCATAGCATCAATATTGCTTTGTTAAGATCTTCTGCAACTTAATGAGATATGATTTTGCATTTCTTGTCTCACAATATAGCAGTAGACTTAACTTAATTGGACTTTGCAAAAATCTTATGATTCAATGCCCTAAAAAACATAACTGATAAAATTTGAAAGTGATAGGGCATCTGGTACATTATTAAAATTGCATCATTAAAATACATTATTATAATAGATTAAAGCAAAAAATATAAGATATTACCATTATATTTGTATATAAGATATAAGATACTACTATTATATTGTTTTGGGAAAAAATGTTGGAAGGATATACTAAGTGCCATTGGTTTATGTTAATGGCTTTTTGTTAGTTTTATAATAATTTACTTTTTGCTAATTAGAATAATAATTTTATAATTTTGTAAATAATTAAAAAATAAATAACAATGACGCAAGTATTTTGTGCAAAATGACATGGAGAAAGCTGCCAATTGTTGCAATGATTTTATCCTGTTTCTCTAATATAAAAAATCTTTAACATTTTCTTTCCTTGACTAAACCTCCTTCATACCATGTGTAATGTACTCTTTCCAGGTTCTCTTACTTCTACCTTTACCATGAAAAGAAAAGGAGCCATAATTTGAAATTATGGCTTCTTTTCTTGTCTTTTTAGAATCATACCACACATCCATCTGATCTACACCTACAACACATAAATATCAAATTTATAAAGATTTATAAATAGTTGTGTGCCACCATCTAAATAAATAGCAAAAACTATATGCTTATATCCATATATAACCATACTGTGTATGCATAAATGTAGCTTTTACCTAAACTCCTGGGTCCAAGCAGGTATGGAAGTTTTTACTTCCTCTAATAATACTTTTCCCTAACTTGACTCTTTGAATCTAATGACCATATTTTTCCTACCATTCCAGTTATTAGACTACCATTCCAGTTATTATTAATCCTTAATAGCTTGCTAAAATCATCTTATCAAACTTGCTAAAATTTTTCATTTTATCAAACTTGCTTAAACTTTACATTTTATTTAAAAACTATTATTAGGTGCTAAGTGGTTCAAATATTTAGCACCTAATAATAAGTGGTTCAAATATTTAAAATCTCTAGAAAACACTCTCAGATATCAATGTGACCTCTCTAATCTATGATTAGTCTTCTCTTTAGTACATACAAAGGTTTTAAGATTATCTTAAATTATTTCTTTCTAACTGCAGTATTAAAGTTGTTTTCATTTCGTAATATAAAAGTCATTCTTGAAAGTATGATCCCCACCACACCTCTGGTAGAAACAGGGATGTGGTGGTACATTTAATCAAGGTTTGCCCAGAAGCTATTGATCACCAATACGTGATCAATAATACAAGAGGTTGTTAAATGAAATATATTCTTTAAATAATGAACTTTTTGCATAAACATATTTGATGTTTTTATTCTTTTGAATTCCTCTAAAGCTAAACCTGACAAATATATTTTAAATGAGGTAATTATGTTAAATGAGATACCTGTTTAAGTGTACATTGTACACATGTCAATTTATTGATTTTAATATTAAATAAATTAGATAAGTCATGCAAAATGTCACCACAATTTGACCATATTTTGAAATTTTACCAAACATAATTACATAATGTCACCATAATATACACCCATATTTAAAAAAAAAAAAATTTACCAAACATAATAACAAAATTTGTAATAAAGAACTATTAAAATTTGTGCAACAAAGAAAAAATTGGCAATCTTGTAATTCTTCAAATCTTGCTTTAAATTATTTATAAACCTTTTATAGACCTCATATAGTTTAATGTCCATACTAGTCAATAGATATAAGCAGAGTGGGCAGACCATATTTGATTAAAACTAACACCATTTACTTCAACAAACCTGTTGGTGGAACCATTTAGTTGTCTAACATCTCTTTCTATACATAGTAAAATCATTTGCAACACACTTGCTCCATCAAAATTTTAATTCCAACACTGTCACCATGCAACCAAAGTATTTCACCAAAAAAAATTCCCTAACTACTGCTAACTTGAAGTAATTTATTTATTTTTTTTAATTAATAAAATTTTTCTAATTAAAAATTGTATGTGTAATGATTTTCTGATTCGTTATCTCTTCAACTAAAATTTAACTTGGCATATTTTTTCCTTTATTTATCACCTCTTTTTAGCAGGACATGTGAAAAAAAAAACAACTAAACTATCAAAAATACTTTAAACTTACCAAAATCAACAAATTAAGGAAGCAATATCAAGAAAACAAAATTATAGCAACAAAATATATGCCAAAAATGAAAGAGTTATACAAAATACAGAAAATGATACACAAACTACAAAAAAAAAAACACTTTAAAAATAAACTTTTAAAAGTATGACTATGTAGCTAATTTAGGTAATTTAAAATTCAATTTATTAATGTCTAAAATAATTGCTATTGATTTATTAAATTGCTATTCATTTCCAACTTTCAACTTTTTTTGTTTGGTTATTTGAACTAAATGTTTGCAATTAATTTTAATTTGCAATCAATCATTTTGAACCAAATAATATTACTTATTATATAACAAATATCAATAATTTTAAAATTTATTATATATCAAATATCATAAATTTCCAATTTTATTATTTACCAAATATCATAAAACTAAATAGACTTCAATTGAATGAACCTAAGTTATTGTCTGGTTGCTTATAACTTTATATAAGATATTCTTATTCATATTTTAATGATATTACCTTGCAATAAACTGTTCCAAAAATCTCATGGACATCTGCAAAATTATTCTGACCAAACTAAAGATAAGCAATAAGTTTAAAACTTAATAAAATTTATATGATGTAAATATTACAAAATTGATTTTTTTTTTTTCGTATATATAACAGAGCATATTTGTAAAAAATGTGCACTTTTTATTTTAAATCCTGATTTACTCCCAAAAAGGCTGCAAGCAACCACTAATAAGTTGAGATTTACTTGAAGAAAAGAATAGAGTTATATAGAAAGGAAAGGGTTCACAGAAGACATGAAAAGTTAAAGGTTATATGAGTCAGGAAAATAGGAAGATGGGAGAAAGCTATTAAGGGTTGAAGTGCGGGGAAAGAAACTAGACGAATAAAAGTTTTTACAGCATGCATAGACAGATACAGTAAAAGAATGAGACTTTCCTGAATGAGGAGTCAAGCGAGTCTGAGTTTTAGTTAATGAAACTAGAGATGATAACTCCTTTGAGCAGCAACCATAATAGTAATTGTAGAAAAGGAAAGAGATGAAACTTTACGAGGATGGGAGTGAGGCTTAAGCTTGGCAGATAGAACTGGTCCAACCACATTTACAATGCATTTTTGCATCTTATCTAAAGGAAAAAGAGCATCATTAGAAGAACCAGATCAAATATGACAACATAAAGAGACGAATAAAAGATTTTTATAGGTATGGAATGGAAATAAATGGAATAAGAAAATGGAATCAGGATGGGAAGCGAGTTAAAAAGAAGCAAATATTTAGCAACCAATTGTTTCCATGGTTTCCATTAAAGGTCAGTAATGAACAATAACTTAAGAAGAGATAAAGAAGAAGACTCAGTGAAAGGATGGCCATTCAATTAAATAGGGTTTTGTAAGAATTAAAATACACAAGCCACTGCAAGTCCTAATCTTTTACAGAAGTGAGATCAGATATAAGATTAGCTGCCTGTTCTAACCAATCAAAAGGAGAAACCTTTTTGTCAAGACAGGAATATAAAGTTAAGTCATCTTCAAAAAGAACTACTTTAGATGTAAGGTTTTTAGAAGATCTTTAATGTAATTTGAATGTCTAACAATAGGTTAACCTGTTTAATTGGATTAAAAGGAAGAGATTGGCCAAAAAAGAAGTAATTAGATCAATCCCATAAATGAGAAAAGGAATGTCAGACCTACCTTTGTTGATGATGCTGTTAAAGATTTTCCAACTTCTGAAATAAGATATGAGATTTAGTGAACTGAGAATAATGGAGCTTAGCATCAGACAGCACCCTACATTGATTTCTTGCAAAAATAATTAGCTGTTTATTCGTGAGAGAGTTTTTCTTTTTGAAAAAATTAAAAAAAAAGATTACAATTAGGTATAGCAGCTATGCAAGAAGGTGAAGACCATGTAGTAGAATGAGGTTTGACTAGGAACCAACAAGAAGGAATAAAAGCTTTCAGTCCTGCCTGAATCCAGGAGGTTGCTTAGGAGGCACATTGATCTGTTGAGAGAGAAAAGACATCAGCCCAAGGACTGTCATGAAGAAAATCACAAAAAGAATCCCAAGCAGCTTTAGGATAGTAGTAAAGTAGGGTGATAGGATGAGTCGGATGAAGAATTATGAGACGACAGATTTAAAGAGATCATTGGATGGTCAGAACCACCTAAAAGAAAAAAAAGGGAAACTGAACACAAGCTAGGACAAAGACAAGACACAAATCAAGGAGTAAAGATAAATGATTAGGAGTCGAGTTAACTATCTGAGTAAGAGATTGAGAAATGCGGAAGTTAAAGGCTTTAGTGCCAGCAGGGTCAGTGGGGTTAGAGCCAAGCCATTCAGTGTGATGAGCATCAAAGATGAGCACCAATAATAATAACATTAGCAGAGAGGTAAAGAGAAAGGTCATAGTCAATTTGATCAGAAATTACTTCTAAAAAAGTTTAGTCTTGGGAAGATGGAGAACAATAAAGAACAAAGAGAAAGGTGATAGAGTGAAGAGGTGCTAAGCAGAAGCACATAATAGAATGATCAAAGGATTCAAACCTGATTTCATAACAAAGAGATGAATATAAATACAATCAAGCCAAGCATGTGATTATTGGAGTCTTTGCAAATCAAAAGATACTACCCAGCAACACTAAAATCTGAAGAAGGAATAGCGGAATTTATAATTTTTCTCACAAAGAGCAAGCAAGTCTGGTAAATTTTGAAAAAGGTAAGATTCAACTGATGGAAGATTGCTTCGCAGAGCACAAATATTAGTAAAATATACATAAAAACAGTTAGGAGTTGGGGATGGTTTTTTATGTTTTAATGCTTTCAGTTTTTGTGCGAACTTTCTCTTTGTTCATTAAATAAACTGCTTTTAATACTCATTATAAACAAGAATTTATTTTATGTCGTTTATTGCGCCATAAAAAAAATTTTTTTTTTGAGCTTTCACTCTAGCTATCCATTTATTAATTAACAACTTTATTCATTCAATGGAAAGTTTAATAAACAAAGAGATATTCCAGTTTTTATTGTAATTGAATTACTGTAATTGAGTTACTGTATAATTGAATTACTGTAATTGAGTTACTGGATTGAGTTAATGTAATTTTATGCAGGAAGTTTAAGAATTATTAGAACCAGATGTTATTCCAGAAAAATAATTTGGGGGGGGGGGGCAGTATCCCCAGTGCCATTAGTTTATTTAGTAAAAACATTTTTTTGCAAAAACAAAACAAAACAATTGCAATAAAGAAGAAAAAGAGCTCCTCAATGTCTGATTTTGGGCAGCACCCTAGTACGGTTGGCGCTGTCGAAAACGATCTAGAATAGCTCCTGACAACACTAAAAGATTCCATAAATGCATATAATTGTGTATTTTTCAAAATTTTTACAAATTCATATAACTCATTAAATAATTATAATTAATATACAAAATATATAATTTACAACATAATATAAAAATTATTACACAATAACTTAGTACGTAATAACTTCATAATATATATATATATATATATATATATATATATATATTTATATATATATATATATATATATATATATATATATATATATGTATATATATATAAGTATATATATATATATGTATATACATATATATATATATATATATATATATATATATATATATATATACATATATATATATATATATATATATATATATATATATATATATATATATATATATATATGTATATACATATATATATATATATATATATATATATATATATATATATATATATATATATATATATATATATATATATATATGTATATATATATATATATATATGTATATATATATATATACACATATATATATATGTATATATATGTATATACATATATATATATATATATATGTATATATATATATATGTATATATATATATATATATATATATATATATATATATATATGTATATATGTATATATATATATATATATACACATATATATATATGTATATATATGTATATACATATATATATATATATGTATATATATATATATATATATATATATATATATATATATATATACATATATATATATATATATATATATATATATATATATATATATATATATGTATATACATATATATACATATATATATATATATATATACACAAATATATATATATATATATATATATATATATATATATATATATATATATATATATATATATATATATATATATATGTATATGTATATATATATGTATATATATATATATATATATATATATATATATATATATATATATATATATATATATATATATATATATATATATATATATATATATATATATATATATATATATATATATTTATATATATATATAAAAGAATTTTTAAGAAAATTAAAGCATAAGAATTTTTAATGTTATTAATAGAGAAAAAAAAGTATGTTTATGAAAAAAAAACTTTTGCAAGAGCCATAAATTGCTCCCCTAAATCACTTTAGGATAGTGTAGGTGAGAGCAAAAGCTAAAGCTCTAACTTCCAGCAGAGGCCTGCTATAGGCATGACAGATATTAAATAGTATTGATGATAGGAAGTAAACTTCTTTGAAAAAAGTTTTTTAAAAGTATATTATGTTGGGTCTCAAAAGAAGCAAAAGTATATAAAATTTTTAAAAATAACCATTATTTTATAAAAAACATTGAGAAAAAATATCATAATAAATTTTTTTTGTAAAAATGCGTATTTTTCCATTTTTAGTTTAAAAAATGTCATTTTGAAATCTAATATAATTTTGAAATCTATAATATAATTTTGAAATCTAATATAATAATTTTTTATAAAACAATGATTATTTATGGAATTTTTATCTTCTTTTGAGACCCAACATGTATACTTTTGAATAACATTTTTTTTGAAACTATAAGAACATTGATTTTATTTTACAATACAAAATAAATATGAATTACAAGAAATTTTGAACAAAAAACCTGAAGGGCTTTGACACTTTCTTTAATCGTCAACTGAATAGTTTGCTTTCCTTTGATAATTACTGGACGCCAAATAGGAGCCTTAAGTTAAAGTTTTATTATTTTTTTACTTCAAAAGCTTTATTTTAATTTTACTAATATAACTTTTAATTACTTGAAATGTGAGTAAAAGTTCAAAATTTCCATTTATAATATTTTAGAAAAAACAAATAATTTTATACTTTTGACTTTAAAACAGTAGAACTTTTTACAGTAGAAAGTAAAGCATAGATAGTGTTGACATTCAATTCAACAGGAATACCAAATGGAAATCCTATCAAAACATAACGATGAAGGTAGTTAATTCGTTCTTCAATTGACTAAAAGTAATTTAAAGTTTATTTGAACAAACTAAAAAAAGTAAACACTTAATTTTATAAAATAAAAATTTAAGTTAAAATGTATATATATATATGTATGTATGTATGTATGTATGTATGTATGTATGTATGTATGTATGTATGTATGTATATATATATATATAAATAAAAATTTAAGTTAAAATATTAAATAAAAATTTAAGTTAAAATAAATATATATATATATATATATATATATATATATATATATATATATATATATATATATATATATACATATTTATAAACAAACAATAGTTAAACAATAAAAAAACAAGTGTAAAAATGCGTTTGTAAATTGCATGCAGCGTAATACTTTAGGATAATAACAGGACCTGATAATATGTATGTATGTATGTATGTGTATATATATATATATATATATTTATATATATATATATATATATATATATATATATATATATATATATATATATCTTGTTAATAAAGGTCTTAATTTAAAGTATTACGCTGCCGCAATTTACAAACGCATTTTTACATATGCCTAAAGCAACTGTTTATCATTATTTAACTTTTAAACTAGTCAATAAGCAAGTAAGATAAAAGAAATAACTTTATGAAAAACCACATTAACTTTTGAATGACGATTATGTAAAAAAACATTTGGATATTGCACATTGTAGTTGGCTACAATTACGATATCCCAACTTTTGGATATTGTAATTGTAATTGTCACTGCTGAGTCTCTAGGAAAAGCAATCAAAAAAACTTTACAAGACTGGGAGCTTTTGACTATGTTGATTGTCTGTCCTTTGTCGCCACAGTCACAAATACTGGTTGGCTAAAAGAAGTCTGTACTCTAATTGAGCTTTGGAGAGGAAAAGCTTTGATTTGGATGGCTTGTCATCCTCATGTCTATGAATTACATATAAAGGTAAATATTGAAAAAAGCTAAATATAAACAAAGATAAAATTAAAAAAATCATAAAATATTTTCACATTTATTTTTATATTTAATTATGAATATTTGTTATATATATAGGACCTGTACTTGCAGCCAACCTTCAACCATTGTCACACCGTCGTAATGTTGCTTCTCTTTCTCTTTCCTATAAATACTACAATAGGAACTGCTCTAAAGAGCTAGTGTCTTTTGTGCCATCTACTAAAATTCATTCTCCTGTTACTCGTCATTCAATTAAGTCTCATCCTTTTACTGTGACTGTTCCTAAGTGCTTTAAAAATTCTTATTCATCCAGTTTTTTTCCTCGAACATCAGTTCTTTTGAATTTGCTTCCTTCATCTTGTTTTCCTGATTCATATAATTTGCAATATTTTGAGTTGTCTGTCAATTGTTATCTTGCTCTATAAACTTTATCTTTTCCCTTCCAGTACCTTCTAACTCTAATAACTCAACTAGGCTACTTGCAGCCTTGTTGGAAGTGAAGATGTTAAAAAAAACAAAAAAACAAAACGAATGAGTTGAATGACTCACCTTATTATTAAATTATTAATAAATTTAACATATGACCTTTTTCATATGTTATCACATATGTCCTAATATAATATCCTTGCAAGAAGGAAAGCTAATTCATGAAATAGCGTCATTTACAGCACTGCATTATGTTTTGTAGTTTATTAAAGCTCCTATCTCTGCCACAACACCTTCTTTAGATCTTCAAGCTATTAATGAAATGATACAATATTCTGAATTCTGTTTTAAACCAGCAAAAGCTTTTCTGAAGTCACTTGAAAAACACAATTGGTATTTAAGTTAAAGTTTTGTGGTACTGTGTCAGATATTTACCTGTAAACCAGTTACATAAACTAGTTCTTAAATTATCTTAAACAGCTAAGCCTGCCAGTTATAAGATGGGAAAAGAGATTTTTTTGAAAAGAGAAAACTGAAATTTTCATTGACAATGAAAATAAAATAATAAAAAAAAATTGAAGATTCTATTTCATTGACAATGAAAATAAAATAATAAAAAAAAATTGAAGATTCTATTCTGGTCCTGAAAGCTGATTTTTCTTTTATTTATAAAAAATGACATGAGATGGAATGGCTGAGAGAGATGGAATGGCTGAAAAACCAGTACATCAAACTAATCCTTATTTCCTGGTTATATTAGATTTAAAAATTATCACTGGTCTTCTCGTTTTCTCAAATGTTTGTAATGTTTTCACTAGGCTTGTGACTATTTTGTAAATGTTTTCACTACTGGTTTATTAACAGTTAAAAAATTATTTATTTTAAAGATAACTAAAAAAAAATTTCATTAATAATGTTTTAAATTTTGTGTATTTATTTTATTTATTTGCCAATAAGAAAAAAATTTACAATAGTAATTTATAAAAACAAATATTTGCATGACTTATTCTTATCACCGAGCCCCAAAAGTATATAAAACATATTTTTAAACATAATGTTTTATATAAAACATATTTTTAATAAATAGTTCTTTTTTCTAATAAATATATAAAAATTTGGAAAATTTAGGCAGATTAAGTTGTTTAATTAATTATTAATTTAATAAATTAATTTGCGATCAGTATATAATAAATTTATTTAGATTCTAAACACTGTAGCTTTATAATTGTGACTGCAATGTTGACCTTATTTTTCCTAATTCTGATGGTTGAAAAAGATGTTACGATAATACTAAAATACATAATAATAATAATGTGTCCTTATTAATTTATAACAAAAAATAAAATATTTTATTAAAAAATTATTAGGTTTTATATTATTATAAACAATAAAAAATTTGTTTTAATATATTAATTTTGATATTGAATAACTTTTGAAATAAATTTTGATATCAAATTAATTAAAAAATAAAAAATAAAACTAATAAAATTAATAGAGAGTTTTTTGGAAGCTATACATTAAATTTTTATTTGAATTTAATTTTTTATTCAATGATTTTATTAAACTGCTAATCTCACAAAATGTTAACACAAAAAAAGAGGCTTTTCACTCAAGATCAATAAAGCGTTTAATTGATCATAAAAAAATGTATTTTGTTCACTTGATCATAAATTAAAACACTGGCAAAATACACCAACAAAAATATTTTTAGTTAAAATTGGTTAAGTGCTCGCTCTATAACCGAGGAGTTCTGAAATAAATTCCCACCACATCAAGCAGCCATGGCGCAGTGGTAGAGCACTTGCCTCAGAAAAAAGGATCTGTGGTTCAAACCCCACCTCTGGGCAAGTTTTGCGACATCGGTTAGAAAGGAGGCACAAACTTCTAATTAAATGCTCATCCGCAGTGGTCTGTGATAAGAAGGTAAGGATATCTTAGGGCACCTAACAATAAAATTAATTAAGACAAAAAATCTCTGGTAGTACTGCACTCAACTTGTTTCTCCGCCCAGCAGCCTTGTTTATCAAAGTTCGTCTTTTGGAGTTGAAGAGTTGAAAGAGGATTGTAACCACAATAAAGTAGCCTCCTCAACATTGACCAATCCATTTCAAAAAAAAAAAAATATATAATATTTTAAAATATTATTTGTGTATAAAATCTCAGTAGCACTTTTCAAAAATAAAATTTTAGGAAAATGCTTGCTGGATTATAAATAATGAATGACAAACATTTGACAAGTGGTATCTTATATATTAAGTATTAGTTTATAAAAATAGATGTTAAGCAGAAAATCTTGAACAGCTCAAGAAAAGGACAGAGAACTATTATAAAAACATTGACCAAAACCTTGTACAGCAACTTTCTAAATCAATAAAAAAATTATAAAACTAGATTAGATTCTATAAGAAGAAATAATATAACTTAAAAGCAATGAATATTTTTTTTGTTAGGTCTTTAATGATTTTTTTTTAAAACGTTTTTTATTTAAAAGCATATATATATCTAATATTATAAATATTTAAATTTATTCCAAATTCCAAGTGAACACCCATTATATATATATTAATATTAACTTGTCAAATAAAAAATAATATAAAATAAAAATAAACTTTTGGTTTTAGATATCGTTTTATTAAACTTTGACATTCATAACTTTCTCAACGAAAACAAGCTTGGTATTTTCAAAAAAATATATTTCAAAGATAAATTCAAATATATTCAGCAAAAACTGGTCTAGTCTAATTGAATTTGACTGAATTTAAGAACACCAATAAAAAGCCTATTTGGAAAAATCAAAAGTCATCATCCACAGCTTATTGAAGACCCTTAAGATTTGCATTAAAAAAAAAAAAGTTATTTATTTAGTTAAGAGTTTACAGAGAACAAAGAATATTTTAAAAGAAAAAAAACTGTAAATTCAACTGTCAAGTCAGGAAAAATATGAAGGTTGGTGAGAGTTTAAAGGATGTGAGAGGAAAGAAACTAATAAAAAGAATTTTTAGAGCATGAAGGTAAAGACAGATGCGTCATTTTATCATTAAACCAACATTACACCAAAGAAATCTCCTTTTACTCTTTAAATCTTCACAATATTATTGTTTTAAAAATTGTTGATGTAATTTCAAATTACTAATGTTTTATTACACAATTTGTTATTAATAAAAAGACATCAATTACTTAAATGTCTGATTGTTATACAAAATAGATGGGTTGAAAATCAAATAAAAAGTAGTTCAAAAAACTATTAACCCCTCTATAACTAAGAAAAGTATCTGGTTGTTAAACAATAAAAATGTTTTCATAGAAATCATCAAAATTAATGTTACTGTTGGAATTACAACCTTAAAATTAAACTGATCCTATTTAAGAAATCTGTGATACAAAATCCTTAATTTAAACTTAATTAAAATGTGATTAAGAATAATGTGGTGAGAGTAGGAAGACTGTGCAGACCATAGATAGTAGTTAAATAGATATCGCTATAATAATAGCAATTAAACTAATAGTAGTATCACAATAAAAACACTCATTTCTGATATGCATATCAGGTTATTATCAAAAAGAGCAGTTAATTGTAGAAAATTGCTTCAAATCCTCCAAAATGTCATATTTAAATAAAAACCATGCACATTCAACAATTAAAAAAAAACTGTAAGCATATAAACACATTTAACTACTAAGAGGTGGCATCATAAGCAACAAGTCATTATTATTGTATTAGTTTCTTGTAATCAATGTGACATTTTTATGGAATGAGTTGTGGTATTTCTACTACAAAATGTCATTTACATCACGCTAATTAAAATGGAAGACACCTAGCTAAAATGCCTTATATATATACTTTATATATAAGTATATATATATATATATATATATATATATATATACATTTTATATATACATATATATATATATATATATATATATATATATACATATATACATATATATATATATATATATATATATATATATATATATATATATATATATACATATATACATACATATATATATATATATATATATATATATATATATATATATATATATATAAAATGTATACATACATATATATATATATATAAAATGTATACATACATATATATATATATATATATATATATATATATATATATATATATATATATATATATATATATATATATATATATATATATATATATATATATATATATATATATATATATATATATATAGACCAGCTATAAAAGCTGGTCTATATATATATATATATATATATATATATATATATATATATATATATAGACCATGGTTTTTCTCAGGAGAAACATATTTTATGTCCTGGCATTGTTGTCTTTTTAAATATCCTAAATGAAGGATAGCAGTGTACAATCATTTGATATAAGTACACTCTGCTGTTCAAATAATTAAATCACCCAATGTATGTACACTGGATGTTTTTATTTATTGTTATAATGCTAAAATTAATTAAAAGAACTTTGAGCCAACTTAATATTTAGTAGTCCAATTAACAAAATATTTTGTAATTAGAAAAAAAGAAATTCAAAACTAACATAAAAGTAAAATAAAAATTGCCTAAAGTTATTAAAACTTACTTCAAGTAAAACAGAGTTTTCCATTATGGCTGACATTCCCTCAAGAGCAACAACAGCCATTAGCACACCACTAAAAATATTAAATTAAAAATAATGAAGTAACTAGTATATATATTAGGGTTATGACTTTTTGACTTTTTAAAAAAAAAAAATATCTGTGCCATAAATTGATGAACTATTATTAAAAAACATTGAAAACATGTTTAAATCCTCTTGATTGTAACAAAAGGTCACCCAGCATTTCAAATTACGTTTTGTCATTTATTTAATCTTGTTACTGCTACTACTAATATGTGTGGTTTTCCTGCAAATCATTTAAAATTTGCATAGATTAGAAGTGTTTAAAACTTTAGAAAATTTTGGAAAATAACAAAATATTTTAGAAGACTTTAGAAAATTCTAGAACAAGTTAAATCATTCTGAAACAATTTAGAACATTCTAGAAATTTTTAAAACATTTTGGAACATTCTAGAACAATTTAAAACATTCTGGAATATTCTAGAACATTTTAGATTATATATAGCTGCTCATCAAATTTTATAGTTATTACAGAAGCAACACTTGACGTCATACAAGCCTAGTGATAGTAGCAAGGATGACTGGACCAATAATCTGGTAAAATTTGAAGACTCTTATAAAAGAAGAAGAATGGTCACTTCGAAAGAATATTCACTGGAAGAAAAGTGCAGAATGCCTCTCCAAAAGCAAATAATTGGACGCTACCATTTCCTTCAAATTGGATGTCTTTGCCTTTGTAGGTAGCAGAGCTTTAACTATTGCTCAAGGAATTTTAAAATCCTCAATGAATTTCACCTATGGAATTCAATACAGATGATTGTTGTAGATGCCACAAATGTTAACACTGGAAAAAAGGTGTTGTTGTAATATTTCAATGAATGCTCACAAAGAAACGCATCAACAAACCTCAGTTTATCAGTTGTCAACACCATGTATTAGATAGAATCCTCCGTTTGGTGATATATAAAGAACTGGGAAGTAAAACACAATCACCAAACATCAAATATCCATTTGTATCAATTGTTGAAGGAGTACGAACAACTGAAAACACAGTTTGATAATGTAACAGAAGTAATTTTCGAAACATCAAGCTCGGAAGTTGATATGAAATTTTTGTTTCATCTCACTCGAGTGTTCTGATTTTTTGAGGAAAAGAGACATTTTCCATTGATCAGGTTTCAGAAAACACTCAATATCAGGAATGTGAGGTGGAACTCCAGAGCGATCCTGCTCTTCATTTTAATTCCTTCAAAAAAGACAGTTCTGCAAAGAGTTGATTTATATCGTATGGCTGGGAAGACCATTGGTTTACAGACCAACTGTACAACCAAAACAACTTTAATAACTTGGCTGAAATACTGAATCCATACAAAAAGGCTTTAAGCTCTTTAAAAAATCACGAAAGCGAAAGCCATCCATACAACAGATACCTAGAAGTAATCAATGCGCAAAACGCACAATCAAAGTAATGGAGGAAATTTATTCATCCTGGCAAAATAAAGACAAATTGCACCTTTGATTCCTTCTGTGCAACAAGCAAGAGCAAGGTTAACAGCCTGAGTCATTGTTGGATTGAAAATTTATTGTATTACATGACTATGACATTCTAAATACATGAATCATTAAATGTTAAAAGGGCGAAAATCTTAAAATGTAAACTTTCGGAAAACTAAAAAAACTTGCATTTTTTATTTTTTGAAGAGGATAATGTTTTCACCTTTTATAAAGGAGCAACATATATATATATATATATATATATATATATATATATATATATATATATATATATATATATATATATATATATATATATATATATATATATATATATATATATATATATATATATATATATATATATATATATATATATATATAGTAAGAGATATTATTACACTAATAAAACCATTTTTAAGCGATTTTATTAGTTTTAGAAATTGATTAAAATTTTTAATTTAATCTTTAAATAACAAATAAAGGTTTTACCTAGAGGAAAGGAAGTCATTACTTTCATCACTAACAATGCAGCTGTAGATAAATTGATCCTAGATAATGTCTATACATTTAAATTTATTAAACTTTTTTTTACTAATGATAAAGATGAAATAGATTAAAAATTAAAAAAATTACTTTTTGAAATGCAACAACAGGGTTAAGCTTTTCTTTAACAAAATTGTAAACTGGAGCAGTATTATTTGAAATGCAATTATGAGACATTTTCTAGAAAAAAAATTTAACAACCACAAAATTAGAATTAGTCAGCAGTGCTCTGTGTTAAAACTGTAAGTGCTTCTAGGAGCACCTTGACAACTACAAATAAAAATAATAAATCAAAACAACTGAATCTTTTATTGTTCAGGTTAAAATATTCAGGCAAAATAACTATAAGTTTAAGTTTATATGACTAAATTTAAAATGTATATATTTTTTCAACATCTTCACTTCCAACAGGACTGCCACTATTAGAGTTGGAAGTTACTGGAAGTATATATATATATATAAAATGTATATATATATATATATATATATATAAATATATATAAATATATAAATATATATTTTTACATTATATATATTTATATATATCTGATACTAAATATATATATTTACACATATATACATGTTTAAATTATTTTCATAGAATAGCCCCTGAGTGTGTGTGTATATATATATATATATATATATATATATATATATATATATATATATATATATATATATATATATATATATATATATATATAATATATATATATATATATATATAGAGAGAGAGAGAGAGAGAGAGTATATATACATATAAATATATAAAATATATATTTTATATATATATATATATATATATACATATATATATATATATATATGTATATATATATATATATATATATATATATATATATATATATATATAATATATATATATAAAAAGGCAGCAGGATGTTTTTTAATGTTTATTTCTTACCATCATACCTGTATTAACAAGTCATGCAGTACAAGTTTTACTTTCATACAGTACAAATTTTCCTAAAAACTTGTTCTGCAAATGTTTATAACCTCTTATTTTCTCAAATAAAGGACTATAAACACCTATAGTAAAAATAATACCCGCGGGTGGGTGAAAGGGTAAGATGGGGGCCTAGTTATATTTTTAAGAGAATTTCACTGTTAAATAAAGAGTCAAATTTAAAATCAATAGTCGCTAAAAGATAAAAAAACAATAGTAAGTATATTAATACAATTAATGTAAATTTCATTTATGTGTACCAATATTAAAAGTTTAACAAATTTTTTTTTGTCAAAATATCTTCCAAAATGTTTCACTTTCATTGACAGACTTTAATGTTGGAGCTTCACACTTCCTGAAATTAGCATCCCGATTTCCTTTTCCAAATCACTTTAATACATAATCCTTTAGATCAAAATTAATAACTGGTGGATCTACTAATGAAATAAACATTAACCTTAAACATTAACATTATCAAAGAGTTTCACAAAGAAGACAAGATAATACAAGATTCATAGTAAAAAAAAACACTTGCATTCATTTGTAAAATCAAGGTATTTATAGCATTGCTCAGAGGTTGAAGATCATTAGGAATTATATTACAGTCACCATTGGCAAATTAGTCAAAAAAATCCTTGGATGGCTGTACTTTTACAGACATTGATAGTTTTTGCTAATTGTCTCCAAAGCATGGATCTTGTTCTGCAAACCATTGTGGTTTATCAAAAATTTGCATATTTTTTATCAAACTATCGTATTTTTTTATGTTTAGATCATTTTCTTTGTCTTAATAACAATTTATGTGCAGCTCTAATTGTAAACATTCTAGAATCAAGATTTTCACTTAAATTGCTTAAAAATTATTTTTTAATAATTTTTGAAACATTACTTATCTGTAGATTGACACTTTTGAATTTAAATTTTTTAGGTGCGAGCTGTGCTTGCGAATAATATTCACCGGTATTATTTTATTACCATAAAATACACCCGAGGTACAGAAGTTTGTAGATCTTGTAACTTTTTAGAAAGATGTTCTAGTTCTATTAAAGTATCTAGTATTAGTCATGTTTAGTATAAAACTTACGCCACTCAATTTCTTTTGAGCTTTATCTCCTCCATTACGCTTTAGATCCAATAAAGATTCATTAAAGTGTTGATACAATGTTGCATAGTTATTCCAAACAGTAATTACAGATTGTGTGCTAAACGACACCCATCTGGTACCTAGAATTTGTCAATTGTAATTCATTGCTGCTACATCAACTGAGGGTTTTGGTTTGGGCAGGCATTCTCTCAATTAAAAAAATATAATTTTTTAAATTTTTATACTATTTCCTGTCAATGTTTTTTTATTTTATGGGAAAAATTAAAAATGACCATGCAAGGATCTCTCTCACTCCAGGGTTGGAAAAAACCTAGGGCTTTAAAAAAAAGCACAACCAAAAAATGGTTTCTTTTGGTTTTTATTGGATTTTTTTTTGGGTTTTATGGGTTTTTTGGGATTTTTTAAAAAATGATAAGAATTCAATTTTTTCTTATTGTACATGTACAGCAACTTAACACTTAAAGTCATTGCAACAATTTCCATTTCCTTTATGTTTTTAAGAGATGCACTATAAATGAAATAAAACTTATCAAAAACCTTTTTCATTAGACAATTTGGTAAGATGTACCAGAATTCTGGCAAGAATTTGTGATTTTTAGGTCATTCTGGTTGCAGCAGGATAACATGAATTTATTTTTTACCTTATTTTTCAAGATATGTAACACAAACTGTGTAAATTTATTCAAAAAATCATTGTAGTACAGGGCAATAAAGAACTATAGGTAAACCTAGGAAAAAAATACAAATTTCTTAACAAACATATGGTAATTTCATTTGCAGTAATCAAATATGTTAGGATTTCTAGAAGTTTAGGAATATTATGTTGCAAAAGGAGTTGCTATCCAGTTTTAGGCAACAAACTTGCTCTTTTTTCATCAAAACTGTTACATGCCTCTAAAAAATGTCTCATTTTAAATGTTACTCAAATTTTAACAAATCAAAAAGTATAGGATGCATAACTCAGTTTTAATTTTAACCCAAATAGAAAAATAGAAAACTTATAGAAAACAAATAATTTTAAACATAAATATTATGCAGGTTAAAACTTTCAATTAATAAAATTTTAAGAAAACAAATAAAAATAACATATAGATTTAAATGAAGCAAGAATAAAATTAATAAAATAGTTAAATTTATTAATAAATTTATATATATATATATATATATATATATATATATATATATATATATATATATATATATATATATATATATATTACAGGTTATAAATATATATTATATAGCCACGATGCTGAAGTGCAGGCTTTCACTTTGAATCTTGAAGGTAAAAAATTACATAAATATTATTCTTGTTACAGCCAGAGTTTTATTAAGAATTTTGGCAAATCCGGTTCCGGTATTCAAAACTTCCATTTCAATACATTCTTACAAATTGGAAAAATATTCCTCACAACAAGCTAACTCTAGACTGTGACTATTACAATGCCATAAAATTAAATTGGGAAACTGATTCAAAATTTAAGGAGCCACACCTGCCTTTTTACCAAGCTTATTAGAAGCACTATCACAAGCAAAAGATCCAATTACATAACAAAAAATAAACCTAGATGATGTAAAGCACTATAAAACTATAAAAGAGTTTGCTATAGAAGAAGCTTCTGTGTTGATTAATTTGTTAATTTCAAAAAGTTGAAAGTGAAAGTGAAAGTTGATATTTATTTCTGGAATATTCACTTGCAAGCAGATTGAATGAGCAGATTTTATACTAATCATGGTCGATTTATCTATCATAAATCCAATTTTACTATCATTATGTAATATATATTTTTACAAGTTTTGTATGGATTTCATTAGAAACATGATAGAAAAACATCAGCACATGCATGATCCAATTGTAAAACACGACCCATGTCAACCATTTTCAACTTGAAAAGATAATAGTTCTTTCAAATTAGAAAATGGACATGCATTTTTGCATTGTGATACACAGTGTGAAATACACTGTAGGTAGTTTCGTGCTGATTGATCTGCATTTTTGAACTAAACATCTCTATGGCTTGGTTTTTGAACTGAGAAAAAATTTTACAAGCTTTTTTGTGTGCAGCTGATAAATTATGATATGAAACCTTTATCCTAACTGATTGCTGTTTTTTTCTTTTGTTTCATCATATTCTTTGACGTTACCAAGCGCCCATTTGCTAGCCAATATTAATCCCTGAGTTTTTTGGCACCTAAATAATTTGTGGACCAGTCAAATCTCTTTAATTTTTCCTTTAACTATTTTCAAATCTTGTTAAAACAAAACTTGTTTTATTTTAAATCAAAATAATTTTTGTTACAGAGAAAAATGAAATCGAGAATGTCATTGAACATCTTCTATTTGAAAAATCAATCTAAAGGGAAAAAGTTTACAGTTAACCACTTTTTTACTCAAAAACTCCTACCATCTATACCATTATTCGATGCACTATTTATACCATTATTCGATGCACTGAAAATAATTCTGGGCACTAGAGAGTCCCTGGAAGTGGTAGAATTACTAAAATAATGCCAAAAAGGAATATCGAAACACTTAAAAAAATGTTTGACCATAAAGACGACATAATGCTAACACAAGCAGCTCGGAAATTTAAGTGCACCCAAGTATATATCAGCAAAACATTAAAAACATTAAAAGTCCTTAATCAGGCCAAAGAAGAAGAAGAGGATTCCATTGAGAACTTGTGATTAAATAGAGACAGTTCAAACAAAGTTCAGTCGGCTGCATAGAATTTCTGCCAATAAATTGTTGATCCTTGATGAGTTGTATTTCACATTTAACTACTCTTCAATTAATGGAAATGATATTTATTATTCAAGTGATGTTTCTCAAACATCAACAAATGTTAAATTCAACCCCACTGCAAAATATGAAAAGAAATTACTCTTTTCGATTTGCTTTTATGATAAAGGAATATCTTTGCCAATATTCAGAGAAAGTGGCTTTGCAATCAACCAAGAAGTCTACAAAAATGATTGAATCAAGAATAAACTAGTTCCATTTATCAAAAAGCATCATTCTGGTGAATACATATTTTGGCTTCCTCTGGCATCGTCTCATTATGCAAAATCTGTACTAAACTAGATGAATGAGAAAAAGATCATTTTTGTCAAAAGTGAAGATAACCCTGCAAATGTGCCTGAATGTCACGCGATTGAGGACTTTTGGAGCATTCTCAAAGAAAAAGTGTATAAGAATAATTGGAAAGCTGATAATCATTTCAATTATTCTAATACTTTATTCATTTTATTAAAAGCGATACTCTATTCTGTTGCGCAATTTCTTGAAAAATTGCGCGACAGAATAAAGTATCACCTTTTCTAATATGGAAAAATCTCTTGCACAGTGCCTTTTTGAGTCAACTGGGCGCCGATTAGACTGTGTAAGATGCAATCGTTTGATTGAAAAAAATTAATGTGCAAATAACTTGTCTACCTAAAACACTGCTTTTTTCTTTTATAAACTAAGTTTTTATCTCATGAAACAAGGAATGAAACACTCTTGTAAACAGCATATTTAAAACTTCCAAGCATGATTAGCAACGCTCATTCAGCTAACAATAAAAATATAAAATCACGCTTGTTTAATAGTTGGGGAGGCAAAAAAAGTAAAGTCATTATATATATATATATATATATATATATATATATATATATATATATATATATATATATATATATATATATATATATATATATATATATATATATATATATATATGGTTAGAATTCAATAAATACAGCTGCATATAAACTTTTTTTAAATACATATATATATTTTTTCTTTAATATATAATTATTTCGATATTTCGATATAAGTACTATCAAAATAATTATATATTAATGAAAAAAAAAAATATATATATATATATATATATTTATAAAAAGTTTATAAGCAGCTGTATTTATTGAATTCTAACCATATTTTAACGTATAACAAGAAAATGACGTTCAAAGATTATATATATATATATATATATATATATATATATATATATATATATATATATATATATATATATATATATATATATATATATATATATATATATATATTCATATATATATATACACACCCACACACCCACACACACCCACACACACACACACACATATATATATATATACATATATATATATTCACACATATATATATACACACACACACACAAATATATATATATATATATATATATATATATATATATATATATATATATATATATATATATATATATATATATATATATATATGTGTGTGTGTGTGTGTGTGTATATATATATATATATGTGAATATATATATATATGTGGCTTCAGTACATACATTGACTGACAAATAGCCTGACTCGCAGTGGAGTGCTGCTACATCGACTGAGGGTTTGGTATGGGTCAGCAACCTTTTTATTCATTATTCTTTGTTTTCCCTCATCGTTTTCTAAAAACGCTCACTTAATTTAGACTACCAAAAGAAGTGAGCAATTGCGCATATAAATATGCTATAGTAGACATATATATATATATATATATATATATATATATATATATATATATATATATATATATATATATATATATACATATATATATATATATATATATATATATATATATATATATGTATATATATATATATATATATATATTTATATATATATTTATATATATATATATATATATATATATATATATATATATATATACTCAAATGTTTTATTATGGTATTCATAAAAATGGTATTCATAATCAACTTCTGACCTCCCATCCATCCTCATAAAACAGTAAAATACTTTGCAATGAAAAAGCACATGACACAATGTATGGTTAAATAAATTCCAGAGTTTATCACATAACTCTTTTGCTTTCAATATAATCTTCTACTAAATGGTTTCAGTGCAATCCTGTAAAATCTGCATTCTTATTTTCCTATGTACTAGGGCTTGGCAAAAACCAGAAAATTTGAAAAAATAGGTTTTCGTTTTTTTTATTATTGTAAAACTGGATAACCGGTTTTATACAGGTTTTTTATTGTAAAAGGGAATTTTTATTATTGACGTATAAATCAAATGTAACAAACAGGATTGATATAATGGAATTGGATTTGTAAACTAAAAGAAAGTTTTTCATACTTATAATAAAAAATTTAATTTGTTTCATTAATTATTAAAAATTAATTTTTATTAATGTACAGTAATATTTACATCTTCTTTTATTCATTATTAATTTAGTTCAAATCTAATAAACTTAGGTCATTTTTTCTTTTAAGTCTCTTTTTTCTTTTTTAATCCTTCTTTTTTTGTGACAACTAAATAACTTTTTTTTTTTTGTAATGCTGTTCATAACTGAGTATGCTACTTTTTATCAATGTAAAATTATGCATGTGATCTGTTTACAAAAATGTAATGTAAAATTATACATTGATTTATAATATTTAAAGTAATACAAAGGTCAAAAATACAAAAATAAATTTGTTGACAAAAAATTTGTTTTTGTTGTTTAAATTTTTTTTTTTTAGTTTACAATGATAGTCATGATACATAATAGCATAAAAATCTTTCAAAAAAATAAACAATTCAGCGTACTAACAATATAAAGCTAGGTTTTGGAAAGAAAATCACAAGGATCTTGTCATCAGAACCTTAAAAGTTAAATATATTTATTTGTAATATATAGATATATTGAAGATTTAAGATAATGTAAAGATAGAACATACAAACATTTTAATATATAATATGCTGAAAATTTAATAAATACATTTTACATATGTTTTTAGTAGAATTTTAGAATGCTGTCCATAAAGAAAATATTTTTAAATTTAGTTTTAAAAACAGAAGGAGTTAAAGAAGAACCAAAATAAAGGAAAATATCAAAAATTTGACAAAATACTTTAAGTTAGTGTTACTTAGTTAAAAAGTTAGTGTTACTTGACTTTTATACTTTAAGTTACTTGACTTTTTTGTATTGTTTTGATTCTTTAAGTATCTTAAAATTTATATGTTGTTGAAAGATTCTGTCAGTATGCAATCTATTATAAATTGGTAAAAAAAATATAGAAATAAATAAAACTAAATGCAATACCAATGTGTTTTTTTTAAAACTACATATATTTTTACTATATTTGTGCTTTCCATGTTACTTGTTAACTTTTCAAAAAAAAAAATCTTTAACCTATTTATCTATTTAGTAATGTATAATAACGAAAGGTTTTTTTATAAAAAAACTGGTTTTTGGTTTCCAGAAAACTGAACAAAAAACTGTTTATCCAGTTACGGTTTCCACTAGTTGCTAAGCCCTACTATGTACTTTGATGTCCTGTCATATTCAAAATTAGAAATTTTATATAAAGAAAAAATTCCATGGAGTTATCTTTGAATTGCTTTAGTGAATGCAAAATATTTTGGCAAGACATTGTTAATTTCAATATTTTCAGCTTGGTCTTTTAAATAGTTGTTTAATTACACGATAACCCAGTTTTTTTTTAGACCTTGATGAGCTTTTTAAAGTTATAAATGTTCAATTGTTTTTTAAACTGTTGTTTTAGCAAAACTTCTTTCTCAAAAGTGGTCAACAACACTTCATAATTATTGAATAAGATTTTAAATCTTTTTTCAAAATGACTTTCTCTTGGCTGTGTTTAATGGTTAAACCAATGATTAAAATTCCAGTGAGGTTAAACTTTAATCTCATTGGAATTTTTTCTATAATCATTAGTACATAAGTAAAACTAATTGTTTAGCAGATCAAGTAATCACTTATAAAAAATAACAAATATAATTAGCTAAATCAACTAAAAGTTTGGTTTGGGAAGAATTTTTATATTCAAAAAAACATAGACACAAAAATTATAACAACATTACCAAGCTTTTTTCTTGATCTTTGTTTAATTCTCTCACAACTAAGCTAGCAACATTTGGTGGTATCTGTAAATACATACTACCATGAATAAGTTTATGTTTAGATTCAACAACAGGAAATTTTCTAAAAAGTTTAGAATAATCATTAAGCAACAAATAATAGTTATTGCATTCTATTTTATTTCCAAATATTTCAATAATTGAAAAACAAGTGATTTGAACCTAATTTCAAACCTTTACTTAATATATCTAATATAAGTGCCATACTGGTTTTTTCATATTTTATTTTATTATTCAACTATTTATATACAGTAGTAGCCACAAATTAAATTCACCTGCCTGAAATGGTATAAATTGTATTTTGACTGATTTTGGTCTTATCTACACCAAATGTTTTGCACATTTCATGAAAGAATTCCAAGGCTAATTGTAGTAGATAATGTAGTCGACAATGGACAGTTATATAATGTAGTAGATAACGTGGTAGACAATGACATATCTACTTTAGTAGATAATGACCAGTTCACATTTGAAATTTACTTCATTAGATTAATAGAAACATGATTTTATCATGATAAATATGTTCGCATGTTACTGTTTCTACAGGAAAAATGGGTAAAAAAAATGTGATATAACTGATTTTCAAAAATTATCAGGTTGATAAACTAATAGCTACATCCTCAAACTTTAAGGACTGCCACCATAAACAAAAACCAAATGCATACAAAGCTTAATTGCCAAAGATGGCATTGTTCACATGCATTATCTGCTTAAATATCAATAAATGAAGACAGCATTGGACTGACATCACCCCAGGAACTATTAGAAGATGTTTATCAAACAACTTCAAATTAGTAGCAAGACTTCGGGCCCACATAAACTTTTGCAAGAGTCACAAGGATAGATCAGCGGGCTGTGGGAAGAGTGATGTTCAGCCATGAAAGTAAATTTTAACAGGTTCGTGGTTCAGGGACTAAAACATCCTGTAGGAAAGTGTTAGGACCCAAAATACACCATCAAAACAGTCAAATAACTGCAATTAGTAATGGTTTGGGGTGTAATAACTGCCAATGGACGATGTGGACTGAAAAGACAAGGAAGTCAAAGTTAGTGCAGCAGAGTATAAAAAGTTCTAGAGAGTAAGGTTCAAGTTGATGGACTTGATTCCATGTCACACAGCATGTTATATAAAAAAGTGACTTGTAGACAGTTATGAATTTTTTGCTGATCGGCATTCATACTCACCTGACTTAAATGTAATTAAGAACTGTTGGAACTTTATGAAAAAGAAAGATACAGATCACTATTTACAGATTACAGACCACCAACAAGTACAATTGATCTCAAAAATATTCTTGGATTGATGAGATCTCAGCAGAATACTGTAAAACATTGTTCAGAAGTATGTAGGCAAGAATTGAGGCAAGATTTATTCTGGTTATTCCACTGATAAATCTGCTAGTGCAAAGACCATCCACCGATCCAAGCAAAAGAAGGTGATGCAAGCAACTGTGTCTACACTTATCAGCTCAGCAGCACCTAATTGGTCATAAAGCAAAGAGTCTCGGGATAGTGAATCAACAAGCACAAGGAAGCATAAGCCAATGCATTGCCAAATATCTTGTTACAAACTCGAAAGCGTCATCCCACAGAGCAGCAATATCCGACAGTGGTTCTCAAGAATGAAGCAAAAAAAATTAAGTTGACTACACTCAAACTGATGGGAAAGCTCAAATAATCAAATGTGGTCATAAAGATTAGAGAGCTCAAACAATCCTAGAAGAACTTCCTGATGTGACAGCGGTGTTCAACCTGTAAGGATCAATTGTAATGACTACTGCCAACACAACAAGCATACATACCAACAAGAAGTCAGGCATTGTTTGGCTGCACCAAATATTAAATAAGCTAGGTTACCACAAACTCAAGGTTATCAGTTGCAACACCATACTTTGGATCGCATTCTTCACATTGTCATTGACAATGAGCTCCAAGGGTCAACTAAATCACAAAACATTGAGTAATTCTTTGTGATTTGATGAGCAATTATGTTAATTGAAAGCTGCTTTCAGCAACAGTAAAACTGAGATTAAGGAGGCTGGAAAGATGACATGAAGGTTCTCTACCACCTAACTTGTGTCTTCCATTACCACACTGAAAGGAATGAGATCATCTTTGTGACGTTTCAACAGATTCTAAACATCAACAATGCATGCTGGAACTCTGATGCCATTCTATCCAATCTTGCGTTTATTTTGATCTCTGAAACCTGGAACAAACTACATAAAATCTGTTTATTCATGTCCTACTCATAGGCCAACCATTAGTTCAGCAGTCAATTATTTCGCGCTGAAGATTTTGATGAACTATCTACTTACAGTGACCTCAAAAAAAAGGCAAAAAAGCTAATAAATTTTTTTTAATTATTTTGGGTGAAATTTTTCCATAAAATCACCCTGGAAGTAAGATTTTATCTTTAATGAAAGCTCATCAAATTATGATACATAAAAGTAAAGTTGTAAAAAGGTCTTCACCCTAATGCTTTTTTATCTTTTCCATTTCCTAAACACTTTGATTCCTAAAAATGGCCAAACCATCTCTCATATCATCTCATATCAAAATAGTTTTTGTTGTAGAATTGTTGATGCAAAAAAAAATATTCCTACTAGTTTGCAAATCTCTGCGCCATCAAATGCTCCCATGGTGACATCAAATAAACCTTTTTTTTTTTTTAATCCAAGCAGTTACGTTGCTAAATAGTAATGAATTTCTTGCTGTATGAACTTCTTTTGTTTTTGCTGTATGAAACTCTTTTGTTCACAATTTATTGTTATGTGTTGTTCTGCAAATTTATTACATTGCTTAGAAGATTTTCATTAATTGATGGATAAAAATCATTAATATCAAAGACTAAAACTTACAGAATGGCTTTTTTTTAATGGTTTGAAACCAATGTATGAAATTTTGAGTGTTTTGTCATTGATTCAAAAATAGATTATTTTTTTTAGCCTAGAAAAAATTTTATATAAAATATATTTTGAAATTTTTCCAACCTCATATTTCAGCAGAATTTATAAGTCTAACAGTAGGTTTGTTTAGGAAGTTTTCTTTGTGATCTTTTAGAGTTATGAAACATTCGGAATACTGTTAATTTCAATTTTATTTTAGACATCATGGTTAATTTAGATTAACATGGTTAATTAACATTGCCATACTACTAAGGTTAATTAATATTAACATAAGATTATATATAAGATTATATTAATATTATTTAGGAGGTGGTTGTATTGATTTATACATGTCTGAGGTTTTGTTAGCGAGAGTTAATGTTTCTTTTAAAGTTTGAAAAGATTTTATATTATTTGCAATTTTTTTCTTGGAAAACGTTGCTGATATTATGGAATTTGATGGTTTTAACAAGGTTTCTTAAATTGTTTTAAAATGGACACATCTTTTATTTTCAGAGGACAAAGAAAAGTTAATACCGTACATTATGTATGTATGCATGTATGTATGTATGTATGTATATATGTATGTATGTATGTATGTATGTATGTATGTATGTATGTATGTATGTATGTATGTATGTATGTATGTATGTATGTATGTATGTATGAATGTATGTATGTGTGTATGAATGTATGTATGTATGTATGTATGTATGTATGTATGTATGTATGTATGTATGTATGTATGTATGTATGTATGTATGTATGTATGTATGTATGTATGTATATATGTATGTATGTATGTGTGTATGCATGTATGTATGTACAGATTTGAAATTTATGTTATAATTATAAATCAAAATAAAAATCATTTGAAAATTATACCTTTTAAAAACAATCTTTGGCATTCCTTTAAGATCTTCATCAGAAGCGCTAATAACATAAACTGCACGAAAAGCCATTTCAAATAATACTTTAATTTACATAAATTTTTTTTAAAAACACCGCAGTATCATTGATGCAGAACTTTATTGTACTTTTTAATGTCAATTGAATCTTTTTTATTATTTTAAATTTTATGGTTAATAAAGTAATGTAATAAAAAATTAATTTACATTTTAAAACCTTTTCAACCTAACAAATTAGTTGACCTGGGGTTGGTTTTGTTGCAGCCCCACCACCCTCAACATAATAACTCTCTAACATTAATTTTTAAGAAATAAAGAAGTTTTTATAAAATATAAACAACAAAGTTCTATACTTATGCTTATGCACTTCTATTATACTTAAGATTTATGCAATTCAAAAAAATCATCAGCAAACTGTTGCATTTCTTTTGAAAATTCACAAACATCAAACCAGCTCTGTGGAATAGATTTTAAACCATAGTAACTGCCAGCTATTGCACCGCACATAGCAGCTATGGTATCAGTATCGCCACCTAATGAAATAGCATAATATAAAGTTTCTTCAAACCCAAATTTTAAATTTCGAAGAAAAGAGAAGAGCGCAGCTGGAACAGCTTGTTGAGCTGAAATATCTCGACCAAGGACTGAATTTACAAGTTTAATGTCATTCTCTTTGCTTTCTGTATTATTTACAATAAGAAGTTTTTTAATAATTTCAAGCTGGTGAGTAAAGGAAAAACTTTGTGAACGTGTCCAGTCATACAATGATTCTGTATTTCTAAAGATAAAAATCATATTTATTAAAAACACTGAAAATAAATAATACTTATAAAATAAATTATAAATTAATATTTTTAATTATCAATTTGTTGCTTTTTTATATTGTTTTGATTTACATTTATAATTTATAATTTAAGCTATTTCAACATTTATGTGTAAAGTTATTTTATTCAAAGGAGAAACAAAAAATACTTAGTATCTATAGTCATAATATTTCCTAACATTTGGTTTCTGTTTTATGTATGAAAAATTTGGTACAAAATAGAAACTTTGATAATGCTTTGTAACTGTTTTGAATTTTTTTATTTTGTTTTTTAAATTGTTTTGTAACTACTTACAAAATAATTACAAAGTGTGTTATTAGTGTGACTCTTTTACTTTTACATATCTCTAACATAATTTGTTGTTGTTGTTGTTCTGAGTTATTTCTTGTTTATTGTTGTTCTTGTTCTTTATTTCTTGTTTGTTGTTTACTCTTATTCTTTGCTGTTTCTTGTTTACTGTTGGTTCTTGTTATTTGCTGTTACTTGCTTTTTTTCAATCAATGTATTAATTTTTTTTTTAACTATTTTTTAATTTAAGGTCATATATAAATAGTAAAAAAAATATAAACCGTATATGAAGTAATTAATTTACTTCATATACGATTTATGTTTTCTATACTATTTATATATGACCTTAAATTATAGATAAATTAAACCTTAAACTTTAAACTGACCTTAAAATAAAAATAGATCAACATTTAAAATGTTGATTTATCTGTTGCATCTCTTTTTCTTTTCTACAAATACTCATATCATAGTCACTGCTCAAATGAGCTATTCTCTCCATAAACCAAAACTCTTTCTTGCGTGATTCATGAAATCTGGTTTGAATACTCTGACTATACATTTATTTGCTTTCACTTCTTGTCTCACTTAGCACCTCTTCCACTCAATCGCCTTTTTTATTGTTCTTTACCATTCTCCTATTTTCCAAGACTGAACTCTTTTCAATATTGTTTCATATCAATTTTATAACAACCTTTTCTTTACCATTTTCATCCCTCAATCAAAAATTGTTGTTTTAGGTGACTTTAATGCTCATCACACTGAATGGTTTGGCATAAGTACTAATGACTTGTTGGCTCAATCAATCTGGCTCTAAAGCTCAAACTTTATCTCTCACTCAGATAGTTAACTTTGAGACTCATTTTCTTGAGAACTTAAATTACTTATTTTCAATCGTTGATTTGTATATAATGGCACTTCTTACCTTAAGGCTGACTGGGATTCTTTTCTGGATTTGCTTGGTGACGATTCATAGACTGATGTCTTACGCTTTTGCCAAAAATTGTGTCTTCTTTTATAGTCTTCTGAATTCAGACAATGAAAAGCATTTAGTCTTCATGGTAGTTTTAAGTCAAGCCTCACCCATACCCATGATTTTTCTATGGTTTCAATGGTTTTTTCATTCTTGTACAGCTGGTATTTGCAATTGTAATCCATTTTTTAAACTTTTTCAAAAACCATCTGGAGATCAAACCTTTTTTATAATTAAAGGAAATCTGATTCTAAATTAATAAATCATTTTATCTTAAAAATTAGATTCTAAAGGCTTTTGAAAAATTATTCTGTAAAATTATTCTGTAAAGAAAAACATTAGCTACAAAGTAATATCTTTAAACAAAGAAAGCAAGTTTCATATCATTTTCTTCATTTTCTCTTTCAAAGTTATAACTAACTTTTCTAAAGTTTTAATTTCAATGTTTTTCTTTGCTTTTATTTTTCAAACCATTTCCTTTAATTACTAACCCCATTTTTTTTTTCTTCCACCTTTTTTATGATATTAATAAACTCAAAATTTAGATTTTATGATATTAATAAAATCTAAATTATGGCAGGAATCTAGAAGGAATTTTTTTTTCTTTACTGCATCACTGATTTCTCTGGTTACAATTTTTAACTGATGATTGCGTTCATTTTGCTTGGCATTCTTTCTCTCTTGTTCAAGGTCTAGCTGATATCGCACACTTTTATCAGACTTTATAAACTTGTTTGTTTGTTCTATTGTTGAAGGTATGAGGTTGTTCTTTTGCATATGATCTACTATCATCTTTCCTGATATCATCTATCTTTTTTCTAATTAACTTTGAATAAAATCTTATCAACATTGAATCCTCGCTTGATCATGACTTGTAACTAGAACCAATGATAGAACAAATTTTAACTCTTTTGATATATTGATAGAAGTTTTAAGAAAAAAGAATTCATCTAGTCTAGCACTCTTGCAACTGAGAAGACATTGGCAGACAGGATATTGAACTTGAATCTTATACATTTGCATTTTTCACAATGCAATGATGTATTGGTCTTTTGGACAGTTGAAAATCCAAAATGCATATCTTTTATCTAAAGATAAATACCTTTATCAGTAAGATCAACCTGTAACAAATCAACTACAGTCGCATTTAAGGAGAACACCAATTTTAACATCCAACTGCATAAGGGATCTATGCACTATATCCAAATCCTTGTCCAGAAAAAGCAGCATTGGATTATGTTTGACATTTTTTAAGACATTGCTGCAAAAGGTTTGCAATATAGCAGAAAAATAAAAGCTTTACTACAAGTAGTTCATCTTCAACAACTTTTTTTACAGCCAAATAACTCTTTGATGGTGGCCTTTTTAAAAACCGGTAGGTTCTGCCAAAAATTAACTATCTTTATTATATTTGGCCAATTCTGCTACCTGTTGACGCTTGACCCATCTAAAATGATAAAAATACTGTGAATGGGATTTTTAAGACACATAAATAAAAAGTGTTTTTGAAAAATTAATTATAACTGTATTCTCTAATTAAGATTTTAAAGACTTAGAGACAAAATAAAAAGCTATAACATTAAAAGACATCCTTAAAAAGCTAAAAAGATTCTTTCATGATAGCCTTTAGCCCTAACTTGTGGTTTCTGTAGCTGTTTAGAAGGCTCCACAAATGATGTGAAGGTTACAACTGCCAGTATTCACTAGTTTACTCAGAGCAGCTTTTTCTCTTTCCAATTACATTTCCCTGAAAACCTTCCAGTTCACATTAGGCCATCCATTGATAGCTGTACTTGTTTAGATAAATCCAAACGAGAAAAACCATAATCTAATAAGTAATAAGTTCGCTTCTTGCATTCCATCCTTATTCTCTTAAGTAAGTCTGTTTAAGTGGCATGTCCAAGAAACATATAATCCCAACGTCATACTTCAACTTTATTACTAATATTGTTCTAAATTCTAACTATTAAATCAATCTCAGATTCGTGAATTACTTTATTCAAAATTACATTATAATAAACAGCCAGCCATCCTGATACACAAATTTGCACTTTAAAAAGTAATAAAGTTCTCTGAAGTAAGGTGTTATTCTATAGTTAACAATGTATTTTGATTTATCCTTGCCAAGTTCCATCATAGATGCAATCTTTCTATCTGGAAACATAGCCTGAAATGTAATAACACTATTGGTAACAGAACTACCACTGTATCCACAAACAAACTGCTTAAATATCCATCATATCTCTGGATTAAGTTTACGTCCATTGTGATAAATAAATGGAATTGTTGTTTGAGATTGTGTAAAGGGAAATTCTATTTCAACTGCACCTATATAATGCAACTGCAACTACTTAATTGAGTATTTTTGCATATTTCAATGGATAATTCAGTGGCATCTTTAGTACTTGCTATATTAACTTTGCAAAATCTACATCTTGCTTGAGTGTCCACTAGAGGTATCCATGAAACAAATTTAGAACACAGCCTGTTATCTTTAAAATATGTTTGTTTTATTTTTTTAGACATCTGGAAAAGAAAAAGAGCACAAACAAAATGTTTTAAGTAAATACTGATTGATTCTTCTTGTAAATACAAAGTAAATACTGATTGATTCTTCTTGTATAAAACAAAGTAAATACTGATTGATTCTTCTTGTAAATACAAAGTAAATACTGATTGATTCTTCTTGTATAAAACAAAGTAAATACTGATTGATTCTTCTTGTATAAAACAAAAGAATTTAATGTTTATTTATTTATAACAAATTATTATTTAATAACTTTTATACATCTTTAGGTAAGTTTTAGAGTTATGTGCAATCAATCAGGGTCATGTAAAATACAATGAGATTAAAATTAAAAAACAAAAATGTATTTTTTTTATAATTTTAGATACAAAAAAAGGATTCAAAATATAAAATCTTTAAAAAATTGATATTAATATGAAAAATAAGAAGTGATAAGAATATAATAGTTTTAAAATTATTTAAAATACTAATTTAAAAACGATTGTCAAAAAACATTGATGAACATTAAATAGTAGATAATTAAATTTTATAAAAATAAATAACTTCAAAAATGAAAGTATTTAACTGTCCACAAAATAATTTATATTTAAAATTATTAAATTTAATATTTTAGTATATAAAAAATTTTGAATTTAAAATGTTTTAGTGTTCCCTGACTTACTAAGAAAAAAACAATTTAATAAGTAACCGAACAAAATTTTAAAGATTAAGGCTTAAAGATTAACTCTTCTCCTAGTAGCTATTTGCATGACCTTTTAATATCGAGTTGGACCACCTTTAGATTTGATGACTTCTGCAAGTCAGCATGGCAACAATTCAACTAATTTCTCTGTCGTATCTGAGTCAATATCAACCAAAGCTTCTTGGAGCATGATCATTAGCTCGTCTTTTCTTTTTAGACATTGTGTACCACATTTTTTATCCAGAATAGCCCAGAGAAGTTCAATTGGATTGAGATCTGGACTTTGCGCTGGGCATTCAAGTAACTCAATTTGCTTTTGGATAAAAAATTCTTTTGCTTTCTTTGACGTTTGTTTAGGATTATTGTCTTGTTGAAAAATAAAATGTTTTCCTAATCAATAATTCCATTAATAAACTCTAGTTTTCCTGTTTCGCTCCGAGCCATCGATCCCCATACCATAACAATGCCTTAACTTACTGTGCCTCAA